TTACTACTCTTGCTGCTTTTAAAAAGTCAGTAAAGACGGATCTCTTCCAGCAGGCCTTCCCTGAATAATGCTCTGGCTTGAAGGGATGGTTTTATCTGCCCCTCCCTGATGCTGCTACTATATGTTTGTTTATTATTCTGTTATTGAATTCTATTTTTTATAGTTTAATTTAGTTTTAAGGGGTGGGAGGGTTGGATTTGGGATAAGCAATGTTTTAAAATGTATGTTTTTATTATTGCTGTTCCCGGCCTCGATTGCGATGCAGAGAGGCGGGTTATAAATAAAAAAAAAAATTATTTATTATTATTATTATTAAATCTGTCAGAACTCTAACAAGGATACATAGGTAGGGGAATGTTTTAAAAGGCTTCTGCCTCTTTTATATCCTAGAGGATACAACTGGATCAAGGAGTTTGAAGCCATAGAGGACATACTGATAACAAAACCAAACTGAGTATTACAGTATTCTATTTCAAGGATTCCAAAGCATCATGAAAAGAGGGTCAGCTGGTTAACTGAGTAACTGGCTTATTTAGAATCCATAGAATCTTAGAACCTTAAAGTTGAATGAGACCACAAGAACCATGTACTCCAACATCTTGCCATGGAGAAATGTTAGCTACAGCACTCCTGAGAGATATCCATCCAACCTCTGTTTAAAGACCTACACACACACACACACACACACCCTAATCTGTTTCACTGTTGAATAGTTTATAGTTTACAGTAAATAAATTCTTCCTAATGTTTAGGTAGACTCTCTTTTCTTGTAATTTGAATCAACTGGTTCATGTTATAGTCTCTGGAACAGTAGAAGACAAGCTTGCTCCATCTTCTTTATGACATGCCTTCAGATTTTGTTGTTGTTGTTGTTGTGTGCCTTCAAGTAATTTCCAACTTACGTCAACCCTAAGGTGAACCTACCATGGGGTGTTTCTGGCAAGATTTGCTATCTTCTGAGGATGAGAGAGTGTAACTTGTCCAAGGCCAACCAGGGGGCTTCATGGCTGAGCTGGGAATCAAACCCTGGTCTCCAGAGTTGTAGTCCAACACTCAAACCACTATACCACACTGGCTGTCCTTCAGAAATTTACAGATGCCTATCATGTCACCTCTCAGTCTTTTCTCAGTGTCTCTAAGTGCTTCATAAGGCTGGGTTTCCAGACCTTTGATCATCTTGGTCACTCTTGTCTAGACATGTTCCAGCTTTTGATAGACTTTTTGAACTGTAGTCCCCAGAACTTGACATACTATTCCAGATGAGGTCTGACCAAAGCAGAATAGAATAGCACTACTACTTTTTTTTATCTGGACATTGTGCCCCTGTTGATACAGTCTAGAATTGCATTGTAGTGCATTGAATTTAACTTTGGAAAGTTACTTTTCAAGAAAAGTAGTTTGTTACTTTATCATTCCAAGCCTCCAAAGTATTTATTGAGTTACCATTACAGACATAATCCTCACTAGACCCATTGTCCAACTGCTGAGTGATAAGTTAGCCTCATTACTTCACTGGATCTACTCTAGTTGTGGCTAGCAGTGACATTTAAGCCATACTTACAGTTTTTAAAAAATAACTCTTTCCTTTAGCATTACTCCAAAA